CAAAGCCTTCCCACTCTATATTTCCATATTGTTTTTGACATCAGTGAATATTTCGTCGTCAACGTGTTTCAAGTGAACATTTTAAAATTCCAACAAAGCCTTCCCACTCTATATTTCCATATTGTTTTTGACATCAGTGAATATTTCGTCGTCAACGTGTTTCAAGTGAACATTTTAAAATTCTAACAAAGCCTTCCCACTCTATATTTCCATATTGTTTTTGACATCAGTGAATATTTCGTCGTACTGTACAAATTCAGGAGGTAACAAAGTCTCTTCGCTATGCATATTAACAATATTTTATCTATTATATACTATTCAATATAATAACACCGCCAAGTGCTCCTCAATCTACTATTTAACTTTTTTTTTTAATAATTTACGACATAATGTATACAAGTATGATATATACATTTACTCATCAATTCACAAGTATATCTGAATGTGTGTTAAGTATTTATACCTAACTTATAATTTTCAATGGATCGTACAGTGGACGACGTTTCGGTTTCTGTGCTAAGGCTTCATCAGCTAGCAACGTTTAAAAGACTTTTACTAAACATTTTGTGTTAAGCTATATTTACCTTTAGTATCAATGGACTGCATACACGCTGAACGACGTTTCGGTTGCTGTGTCGATGATTTTCATCAACCAACAAAAAAGTTAAACGACTTTTACTAAACATTTTCTCCTGGCCTTTCCAAAAAAAAAAATTTTTTTTTGATGGTTGTCTAAAACTAGCTTGTAATCAGGTTATTTTAAGCGAGACTTATTTAGGAAATATAGAACGTGAAACAGTTTTGTTGTATGTTAAATAATATTTGTTTTCTCCACACATGGCATGAAGCTTTAAATGAGTGTACAATAGGTATGCTTACCCAGTAGTGCCGATACACGTATGTATGTATATATGAATCCTCCATTATATACATATATGTGTGAACTTCACCGAATAAAGAAAGAAATTGACAAAATCAGCTAATATTTTATCCATATTTTACCCTATATACTAACATAGCTGAGTATTTACTATTCGTACGTATATACGTTCGAGTAGTATTTAGTCAAAGTCAATTTTCTGTTCACATTTAATCATGTGTCAAGTAGCTAGTTTCTCATCTTGTATGGATCAAGTGATAGGACTGGTTTATTACTTATTTTGTAAATTCGTTCTCTTGAACGAGAAATTAACTGCACGCTCATATAATGAATGATTTAACAAAACAGCAAGAATATTTAATGAATATCAAATATTTTATATACATATAAGTCTAGTAGTCCCTTTTAAAATCGCGGATTTAGAGCTTGGCGATCCTATTTATAAGTATTATTCAAATATTTGAGTCATATATTATTCGAATATAACATAAAGTGACTTCGTTTATGAGCTATAATGTTTGTTAAGCACAAAGCTATACAATGGGCTATTTGTGCTCTGAGGGTCGCGGGTTCGAATC